TCAGAGGGTCTTTATGGGGCTTACCAGAATCCCACTAAAGGGAGTATAGAGTCTGGATTAGACCTTAGATACAGAATTGCAGTAATTTGGAATTCAAAGTTGTTGTTCAGATAGAGCCAATGGAAATGATTATTGTGCCTTTGAGTTTTGGTCTCCAATCTGTCTACTAGGAAAAGGAAAAGTGCCTTTAAATGGTTGGCCATGTGTTTTACATTTCTTCTAGAATCTGAAGCCTTCTCTGTGTGATCAACTTAGTCATTGTGTGTGGTTAGCAAATGATTGCTTTTCATTAGAGACCCATTGTCTCCTATGCAAATGTATCCATAAATGCATAGAAGTGGATGGAGAAATTGTGCTTGGCAAAACTGAGCATAGCTCTGGCTGTGTCCAGCCAGGTACCATTGCAGTAAATCCTTGTGAATGCCAGTCTCCAAGGGCTCCAGTTACTGTGGTCTAAGAAGTCAATGAAATAGTGAAAAAGATTTACAGAAATGTGTGCAACCTTGACATTGAGTGCTGAGAGCTGACATGTTTCAGCATCCTGGCTCTGCTGGTGTGTAGAGACTTGTCGAACTGTGCTTTCTTGGCCTTGAGTCTGAGCTTTTCCAAACAGGTTACCATCTTAATTATACAAACACTGGGAGAAAGGCAAAGGCTGTTAATTTGAATTATGGAGGAGGTTTTCAGGCTTTATTTCATTAAACAGTCTCCTCAAGGTTATGTGGGGAGTGGGCTGCTGTGCCTGGTATGTAAGGACAAGCTGTTTTGTTGAGGTTGCAGGTCATCCTTGGATTTCAGCTCAATTTGAGGTTAGTGGTTTGAGGGCAGTGGGTCTGACCCACTGTTGTTTTACTGCTACTTCATGATTCCACACTTCCACTAATACAGCTGGAGCTTTAGCCCTGTCTATTGCCAGTTTATGGAGAATACTGGCATTCCTAATTGTTTAATAAATCATTAATGAAGCTTTTAGTGTGCGAGAGGGTGTGCATATTGATTTGTGTATGCATATTTAGGTATTGGGACAAGAAAGTAAGGCTGCTGAGAGACTCCTGAGAGGTCTAGAGAGAGGAACATACACAAATTATAATGAGGTATAAAGGTTTTCCATTCCTTAGGATGGAGAAGTTGACATATTAAATCGCACACTCTAATGATGTGGACTGACTCAGAGAATTTGAAGGAAATAACAGCTGTGCACATCAAAGCTTAGAAATAGAAACTTCATCAGTCAGTAGCAGTTCAGAGTGAATGGAGAAATCATGAAATTATTAATTATGGTTTTTAGAGAAAGGAAACATAAAGTCCCAACTCTCCAAAGGCAGAATGCTGCCTTCAGTGTCTGCCAGGAATCAGCCCCTCATCCTGCTGGGCTGCTCTGTAGAGATGGAGGCTGTTGCCCAACCGTAGGCACCTGCTGCCATTTTCAATGCCCTAAGCCCCGTCCCCCTGGCTGGCAGATGCAACACAGGGCATAGGGAAGGCTCCTGTCGTTCTGCAGCAGCAGCTGGATGTCCTGAGGCATCTCGGATGGCAGCAGCTGCTGCTGCTGGAGGAGTGATCACTCGTACACGGAGGTACGGACTCGCTCTCACTCGCATCATGAACACACAGTCACCTGAAGCATCTCGGTAGTTCACAGCAGTGTTTGCAGAGGGTAATTGCAGAAAGCAATGAACAGTTTATCTGATTTGAAATTTAGGAGAATTTTTGAGATGAATAGAAGGCTTATTTAGATTAAAATCTGACCATGATACAATGTTATAAACTCTCCCTGTGCTGGAAACTGTAGTTAAAATCTATGACTCAAAGTTGCAGTGAATGGTTGTTTTCCTAATGACCTCAAATCCATGAAATGATTCTAGCATTTGCCTTTTTATATATTCATAGTTAAATATAACTTGAATGTTGTCCTAATTACATTCTCATGTTAATTTAGCTCTGATTCAGAATTTCTATCATTATTCTTTGTAGAATTATTTTGAAATGATGGAAAGTTCAGTAACGATGCTCCAGTGTGTGATTGTGCCTTTGAATTATTTATCACATTCAAAGACAGAAATATGGTTAAATCTAGTTTGAGTTGTAAATGAGCCTTGGTAATGTAAGGAGGAAGTGAAACTCCTCTTTGCAGAAGGACGTGGTTTATGGGAGCATCATTTGATAATGCGGGAGCATCACAGCCCCACATCAGCAGAGAGCCTCATAAGAAAACATCCGTCGCACCAACTGGCAAATGCTATCTGGGCAGATAAGGCAGATAAAGAGTGGAGGAGGAGAGAGAGATACATAGACAACTTGCACAAATGACAGAACAGATTAGTGATGGAATTAAGAAGAGAAAACAGATGTCTTGCCTTGGTCAGCAACAGAATTCACATGGCTTGTGCTCTCTTTACTGCATGCTTTGGGAGTGAGCTCTCACAAGGGTGTTTAGCCCTTGGTTTTTGCAATGCATCACAGTGACAAGTAGCCCAGTGTTAATATATGGCTGTAGAAACTATGATTAATGCAAAAAATTCATACCTGTGGCCCTGAGCCAGGTAGAGAACAAACAATTTCTGGTGAGGCGTGAGCAGGTCTCTGAGAGGGAGTGAGGAATTCTGGAGGAGGAAAGGAAATTGTCTTAATGTAAGCAGCAGTTTTGCTAGAGGTAAGTGAGGGGAAATTCTTCATTTATAAATGGTTCGTTGACCCATGATAATAAAGCAGTGCTGCAGAAGAAGGATAATTATCTACTTAAGTATCAGATGCCCTAAGGGTAAAAGCTTCCCTTCTCTCCTTTTGAAAAATGAACTCAGATTAAACGAATGTCCTTTTTCCTGTTTTACTGTTGACATGGATTTCCTTTTTATGAGTAGAATTAATTAGTTTTTCTATTCCTTTATTCCTGGTATGGAAATCAGGTCTGCCAAGCAAGTTTCCAGCTCTTCCCTTGGGCCCTGAGTTCAGCCAATAGCATCCTTTGTGAAGATGCTTTGTACAGTGAGCTGGGAAGGCACAAATAAATTACAGGAGCTCTATTATGCCCAGCAGCTCACCAGGAGAAACAACCTCCTAAAACAAAAAAATCCACAAAATGAGACTTCTTTCCCCAGTCAAGATTGGTTCATTACTAAGTACGTTTGCTAAATATGTATTTCTCCTTCCTTAAAGTATTTTAATATCATGAGTTATAAAAAGAGGAAATGAGTAGTGGTGGCATAGCTGCTGTTGTACTGAGTGAGGAAGGGCCAAGTTCTCAAAGCAGATTAATGTCCACAGCTGAGGCCAGGCTTCTCCTGTTGAGAGCAGAGAGAGCTGCTAGCTGTGGTGCTTGCTGCAAAAATCTGCTCCCAGTTAAGCAAATATCTCTTACAAGATTGTCTGTCCTCATCTGGACTCTAAAAAATTATCAAAACCTGTCCCTACTTCTTTGCAATTTGCAATGAGAAAAAGTCTGCTTTCCCCCTCCAGTCAGAATTTTAATTGAGATTCCAGTGATAAGCTTGATGAATGCAAACATATTTCTCCATTTGTGGAAATAAAACATCGTTTGCATGTGTTAGTCATTCTTTGTTTCAGATGTCTCCTGAGGTTCTTGAGGCATCTTAAGTCATGTCAATGTAACCTCTGTGTGAACCTGTTACAACTACAGAGCATCTCCTAGTTGCGTTTCTTGGAACATGGTGAACGTTCCTGAATACCTGCAGGCTTTAAGATGCAGTAAAAATAAATATTACTGTAATACAATGGCACGGAGCTTAATTTTCTTCAAATAGTCCTTTGAGCACTCGTTTTAATACTGAAAAAACAAGAAGTTGTTAATTTTCCTTGCCTTTGGTCAGGAGAGTTCAACTGCCATTAAAGGTGATTGTAAGAACACAATACAAACACAAACTGTAAATCAGAAAAAAATTCCTGTCTGCAGGGAACAGAAATTAGAAGCAAGTCCCAAGTGCTTTCTTGTCTGATTTACACAACTGAAGCTCTGTGAAGAATTCTGGACACTATTAATAATGTTACAAAACTGACTTTCAAGTGAGGAACCGTAGCAATTATTACTTTCTGTGAACGCAGCAGGGCAGGTGGCTGTGAATAGCGTCTGTGTGCTTTCTGTTGTTTACTTTATAGTTTCATTTCACTGAATCACGAAGCACTTTTTAATAACTTACCAAGGTAGGATGAAATCAAAGTACCTGCAGTGTTGTGAACATAGCGCCTAACAGGGAAAAGTCTGAAATATCTTACTGTGTTTCTAACATCATATAGTAGTTATGACAGGTGAGCATTTATAGAATCATGGAGTCATTAAGGTTGGAAAAGACCATGAAGGCCCTTAAACCAAACCCAACCCCATCATGCCCACTGACCACGTCCCTCAGAGCCACATCTCCACAGTTCTTGAGAACCTCTGGCATTGATGACTCCACCACTCCCTGGGCAATATATGCCACTGCCTCCCCACTCTTCCTGAGAAGAAATTTTTCCTAAAGATTCTTTGCTATTATCAGCGTAGTGTCGGTTCTTCACATTTAGATACGTAAAATTTAGAGGTGTTAGATCAAGATTTTTAAATATGCATATTGTGAATGTGGAAGAGCACTGTAAAACTGCTGTCTCAGGTCACAAACCCAAACCCACCTTAAAATCCTTTGGATTTCACCCATTTTTAAATACAAAAAGGAATGTATCTTACGTACAAAGATGCTGAATTCCAACAATTCTGTGGCTCAAAATTGTAAGTTTGAGCTTGTGAAAATTTTGCTTTCCTTTAGGTGTGTTAATAGTGGCATATAAACCTTGTTTCAGTCATCTGCGGGGCTTGAGGAAACTTCTGAACCAAGCATCATATGATTGAATGTATTTAGCCACGTGTTTTAATTGCTGTAACCCTCAGAGCAGGAGGAGTTTGTGTAATTCAGAGGTTAACAGAAACATGTTACAAACTGGGGGGGGGAGATACTTGTCCTGCTGGGCCACTCAGATATGTGTTTGTGCCTTGACAATCCCACCTTCAGATGTTCTCGTTTGCCCTCTGCGGCCGGTGGAGCGTTTCCGTGACCTGTGCCCTGAGGAGGTGGCTGATTTATTTCATACAGCTCAACGGGTTGGCAGTGCAGTGGAGAAACACTTCTGTGCCACCTCACTCACCATTGCAATTCAGGTTTGTGAACCAAACTTCTTCCCTAAGCCCATGACAAAAGTTCAAAAAGTTCAAAACTTTAGGGGGCAATACATGCACAATAATAATTAAAGGGAGTGGGTGGAGGGGAAGCATGGTAATGTTAGAGGATTGATCTTCTACAGAAGGTGACCCACTGCTTGGGATGGAAAAAGGGAATTCCTGCTCTCCTGCTTGCCCCTGTTCATATGCAGGTATATAGAAGTGGCCATCTAAATATGTTATCAATTCAGACCTTTCAGATTTGTGTTGGGTTTGTACTCCAAAAAAGAGCTCTATTTAAAACATTCCAGGGACTAAGCCTGTTTTATTAGAATAAGATTTTAAGAAAGCATGCTTTGACTAAATTCTCACACATCTGATTTTATATTCACGAGGATCAGAAACCTATTGCTAGCTATTCAAAAATACAATCTGAAAGCATGAAAATTAACAACTGTGGTTTTTGTGGTCCAAGATGCAGCTTCTCAATTTGCTGTGGCCTGATGTGGAAAGGCACTAGTCTGAAAACTGGGTGGAAGGGTCCCCTGGAGAATATGCTAAATTACCATATAGTGAAATTGGATGTAAATGATTAATGAGTGATATTTCTGAATCCCTATGTGATCCTTGTTAGTTCCTCTAACCTGAGACTTCTCCCTTTGCTTACAGGATGGCCCTGAAGCTGGACAAACGGTGAAGGTGAGTGCTTATTATGCAGAATACAAATTAACAGACAATTATAAGAACTAATAAAAAATCAAAGCTAGTCATCTGCAGACCATTGCAGTACCATTATGTTATCTTGAGATCAAAAGATCCCAAGTGTGCAATGGCTGTAAATGCTTTTTATTGAAACTACACAGGAAGATGTTTACAGGATTTCTTTTCTAGACTAAATTTTTCAGTGATGAAAATATCTTTTCCAAACTGCTGGGTGTATTTATATGAGGAAAGCCATAGAAAGTGGCATCTTTTTAAGTTTTTTCTTTGTTTTATAGAGGAAAATATTGCCCTTCCGTTCATCATCTCTTTGTTTGTCTTCTTATTGCCTAATGAATTGTAGCTAATTATAGGAACAGTTAAACTCAACCATGTTATGAAAATATACTTTTTGTCTGTGCTCTCTCTCTAAATATTCATATCACATTCTTGTTACAGAAGTTCAAATGTAATGGAGCCAGTGAAGCTTAAAAACAGATTTTAAGTGTACTTCTGAAAAAAAGGTGGGGGATGGAGGGGAAAAGGATTTATGACTATACTCTCTACTTGAGTAATAACATAGATAACATCCAAGATGGCTCTCCAGCCATGTTTCACTGCCTCATAATACAAATGCATGTGTAGTTAGATTGTATGCCTAAACATCAGATAAAGGCTATTTTTTACATTTGGAATCAAAGGAAAGTCAAATATGGCTATGGTTTAGTACTTTGTAAAATCAGATTAGATGGCTCCAAGAAGCTGTTTGGGTTGATTAAGATAACTCTAACAACCAAATAGCATATAGAAACATTTTACTTCTTTTCAATTTGATGCATTGGCCTTATTTTTCCTGTGCCTTTTTGTTGTCTGCTTTGAATATTTAGCAGGGAGATGATAGGGAGAAAAAAAGAAGAAATTAGAAAATCCCCATGCTTTGGAAAGCTGAGCAGTGATAAAGGAGTGTAATAGAATTTACTGCAGTACTGCAAAAAAATAGATTCTTCAGGTCATGGCTTAGAGTATATTGGGTGGGTTTCACTGGGAATGCTTTTTGATGGGTGAAAATGTCATGGTTTAAATACTTCCCTGAGTAAGTTTCATTATTAAGCACCAACGTGTTTTAGCAAATGGATCACAGGATTTCTTTTACTATCTTGGACAAATATTTTTTCCTGCATAAAAAAGAGTTTATGGAGATGAGTATATTAAAATGTGAGAAAATTTGCTGAATGAACAAAACCAGATGCAAAAATCCCCATCTTGTGTGACTGTGAACAATAACAGATGTTTCTGTAAGTCTTAGAAGGGGAAGAAATTCTGTATAATTCTGTATTCATGTTGGAGACAAAGAGCATTAATCTATCCAGTACCCTGCAAATGGTACCCACCCTTAGCCCTTCCATCTCACACTTTTAATGAGCAGTGAGATGAAAATGACCCACTCTTACAGCTGTGTACCCCAGACTCCATAATAAAGTCTGTGTGCTCCTAAACCGGAGGTTAACAGTTTGCTTTTCTCTACTTTTCTGCATCATTGGGCAACACTGTAATTTATCATCATCACTTTAGGATGTTTATCATCTGAAACTGCCAACAACTATTTTCTTCAGAAACTTAGAGCTTTCAAAACTGGAATTGGGAAGAAATTACTATGATCAAGATCTTCTACAAAGTGAACAATAGGGAGGGTACATAAATAGCTGGTTCTGCTTAAATTCCTTTGAATCAAGAAGTTTGAAAAAACACCTATATGATCTACGAGTAATTTATGAACTCCGAATTCAGTGTGTCATGTGTTTATGAATGTGTTTTTTTCTTCACTGTTATCCTGTTTTCTCTAAGGGAACTTGTAATTAAAATTTCTGGAACAGACTTAATATTAGAAAAACATTCTAATAGTAAGAATAGCAAAGCATCAGAATAAGTATCCAAGGGAGTTTGTGGAGCTCTGTTTCAATAGGGTAGGCAAGCATGTGTCAGGAGCTAATTAGGTATAGCTGATCTAGCTTTGAATGGAGGCACATACCAGATGGCTTCAAGAGTCTTTTCTATTTGTGTTTTGTATAATTCCATATACCTGTATAAATGTGGGCTGCTGCATGTGTTCCTCAGGAATTGAATTACAGGAAATAAAAAGAGTACAGACTGTTAAACTGATAGCTGCAAAACTCCACTACAAAATGGAATGAGCTATCAGCTCAGCAGAAAACAAAAGCTGACTGAGAAAGTTTATCTGAAAAAGATTAAGAAATTCTTTTTCATCAAGGAGGTATGGTTGGACCTCAGTTTGAGTACATCTCAGGTCTTTCTTTGCTATGGAGATGCCTGAAATTATATGTCTCTGCACCAGGTTTAAAGGAGATTACTTTTCAGTGTGATTTTTGGAATAGAATCAACAGTAAGATATTGTTTGCCAGTGTTAGATCTTCATTGTGATAGTGTGAAACCTGCTGGTGTGTGCAGCTTTCAGACAGACGTACTGCAATGTCAGATACTTCAGTGGTGCCTGTACTGCAACCTAACTAGTTATCTAAATGGAACCTGTTCATCTTCTAACAGGTAGCTCTGCAATTGTTGTGCTTCTTTCTTTGTAGATACCATCTGCCTTTGAATTTAAGATATCTGAGCCTGCAGAATGGTATTTCAGGAAAGCTCATGGTCCTTCCAAATCCTCCCGTTAATGAGATCTGTGTGTTTGTCTGTGGAATAAACGCTATGGCTGATCTTCAGCTCACCATTACTTTGGAAGTGTAGATGGCTCTTTTCTCAGGCTTTTGCAATTGGAAAGGATACATTTGCTAAGGAATCACATTGCAGGTTTCAGACCATAAAGAAATACAAAGTATTGTTTTGTGATCTTTTCCACAGCTGCCAAGGATTGCACGCAGTCTAACCCCATCACCTATTTATGGCAGGGACAGATGGCTCTCTCTGAAGGTGCTCACAGATTTGCACACTTGATGCTTTATTGTAAGAGGTTCTTGTACCAACACGCAACAGAAAACCTGAGTATCTCTAAGCAATGGGTCGGCAAGCATAACCATTTTCCAGCATTAAATGCTTTCTGAATTGTTATTTCTTCTGACTTGAGAAAAGGAGGAAATTGTATTGAAGTCCTATCTTAAAGAATATTTATATCTGCAATTTTGAGCTCTGTTTTTCTTAGTGAATACAAAACCTACAGTGTCCTTCTGCCAGGAGTGGAGGATGAGTTTCACACTGGTTCTGTCTGAGAATGCCTTAAATATCCAGGCAATTTCATGGATCAGGGAAATCAGCTCTGCATCTTAATGCAGAGCTCTTATTGCTATGTCAAGTGAGTGACGTTTCAAGATTTTCCCTGGTATATTTTATAGCCTTCTTTCCAACATCAAGTCAGCAAATGCTCTAGCTGCCTTGGTGGATGTATAGCGCAGCACAGAATAAACTCTCAGGTTTACCTTTTATGTGAGATTCAATCACAAGAAATTCCGTACACTCTGTGCTCTGTAAAGGCTAAACAAATCAAGCTGGCAGGAGCATGATGCAACTAATTTATCTGTAGAGACAAGATAATATTGCACAGCAAGTATCCATTGTGCTAACACATATGAACACATACTCTATTTTGCAGCTGTGTCAAAGTCTCTGTCAGCTCAGCACCTCCACTATTATCCATGGCCTGTTTGCCAATTACAAGTTCACCTAAAGAAATGAGAAATTGAGGCTGATGGTGGCAGTGTCGGAATATGTGCGTAAATTTTGTGTGTTGCACATTCCACTAATTATTTTACACTGAGAAGATTGCCTAACCATTATTTTTTGATGTGCATGTTTTTCTTTCCCAGATGTTTTTAAATGCTGTGTTAAATCAATCCACCTGGCTTTCATTCTTTAGAAATCTTCACCAGAACTGTGAAGCATAGGGTTTATTGAAGCCCACAGGAGCTCTTCTGTACTATTTGTCTACTTGTCCCTGGACGCAGAGTACTGGACTTCAGGTCTGAGTTGTTAAGTGTAATCAGATCACATTGCAGCCTGATTGCATCAGAAGGATTAAATTCACCAACTGTGGTACTCCTGATGCTTTAGCCTGCTTTCCCTGAAGGCTGACAGATGTGAGTCTCTGTTCGATGGAGTATCGGAGGCTACCTTTTTCTCCCTTAAAACAACAGGAAAAGAAATACTGGCATTTGAGAAATGCAAAAATGTCTTACCTCTAAATGAATATAAAATTTCAAGTAGAAAAGACATGGAAGAAGGAGCAAGCTTTAGAAAAACATTTTGCACAGAAACATGAGCAAATGGTCTTGTTTGCTTTACTCTTAAGAAGCATGATTTTTGTGAAAGCTTGTGGGATGCCCCGAAATGATCTGATGCACTACAGCAATCTCTTGAAAGTGCTTTGAGAATGGCACTAATATTTGGTTGGAGCGCGTGTAGCACTGCAGTAAATTCAGTAGTTCTAAGGCTGTATGTCTGTTTTCAGATCAACTTTTTCTTTCTATTATGGTACTGTATTTAGTTTGGAGTGAAGTTTGTAGGACATTAATGCTGAATGTTTGCAAAGCTAGGACTGTAGTGGCCCTTACAGCAGCTGGAAAGCAGTTGGGGCATCTAGATTATTTGACTCATGCCAACCACCACTTAAAGCCCTTTATTAGCTTTTGTTTCCTACTCACTCTAAATAATAATTCTTGCCCTTTCCTTTAAAAATCTGTTCAAAACCAGCCTTGTGTTTTTCTAATGTTCCTTACAGTTCTTTAGCCAGGCCTGTGTTTTCTATGACACAGCTAACAGGTACAGCCCTAAGGTCCCAATTTCCTTTTTTAAATTATTTTTTTCTATCAGGACCTCACTTGTGTTCATTACATACATCGTATTGCTTTTTGTTTTCTGTGTTCACAGCCCCAAAAGGCACTGGTTCCAGATGTATCTTTAGACCTGCCTTTAATACACACATAGATTGCTCTGAAAGTAATGCCTCCTATTTATTTCTGTGGAAACTACAACAGGTA